AGAGAGAGAGAGAGAGAGAGAGAGAGAGAGAGAGAGAGAGAGAGAGACCTGCAGCATGCAGCATGTCAGTGGCGGGGAGCACAATGGCAGGCGCTGACCTCCAACAAAAAGAAGGGGTAATTTTATCGGAATACAATATTTTTTTCTTTTCGAAATCGGAATAGAAAGGGTACAGGTTGTATTCGAATACAACATGTACGTTTTCTATTTGAGGAACTCTGCTATTCGAGAAAAGTGGACCCGCACGGTTTCAATATCGAAAAAGGACTGCAGCCTCCTTGGCCTCCACGCACAGCTACCGGTCCTACGAGGTCCTGGCCCTTGCAAGGCCCCAAAACCTCAAAATGCCCACCCTCCCGACGACCACCGACGTAGAAATTTGATTGACGTTGAAATGTCTCAGGGGGGAAAACGCAACCCTGACGCCCTGCGAACATCAGCACTCTCTGCTCAATGCCACTCAGGGCACCAACGGCATATCTCTAGGTGGGGGGCACCAAGCTTGCCCAGGAAGGTACATGGGCCCATTGGGAAATGAACCCAAGACCTCCTGAATGCCACTTGCGTGCCTTTGTGTTTGTGTGTGTGTGTGTGTGTGTGTATGTTTGTGTGTGTTGTGTGTCTGTGGGCCTCGCCAGTCCACTCTCGAAATGTGAAAAAGACAAAAATGTGGAGGGTGCATGTGGTCGTGTTCTAGCGGACAGTTCATTCTCATTTTGCACATTTCGAGAGTGCATCCCCTGGATCATTTTGAGTATTGTTTGAACACACTCGGGGCATGGTGCAAAATGAGAAATGAGAATGAATGAACTTACTGCTAGATCATGGCCAGATGCACCCGTCACACTTTTGTCATTTTCACATTTCTGACAGTCGTGTGGCGAGGCCCTTGGACAGTAGTGCAGTCAAAAAAAAAAAAAAAAAAAAAAACAGAGAGAACAGTGCAGCTAGGGCCATTCTTCTCTTCCTTATTGGGCCTCGCTCCGCTGCTCGCGAAATGTGCAGAAAATTTCCCTCCCCCCTCAAAAAAAGCAAAAATAAAAATGCACAAAAGACAAAAATCATGGTTATTTGAAAAGAAAAAATAAATAAAATCATGGCGATGTATCTCTCCATGTTTTACGGGCCGATTCACTCTCGTTGTGCACATTCCAAGAGTATAGTGGAGCGACGCCCATGAGAGAGATTTCGAACTTGCGGGGCTCGATGGTCTATCCAGAAACCTGTATGCATCAGGAACGAAAAGCGGACCAAATACATATGGACGGAAATAACATTCTTGGGCGTGGTCCCACTAGCAAAGAGGATCGGATCGAATGCCTGAATCTGGACGACGTTATGGAGATGTGCAGGAAATCGAGATTGAACTGCTTTTCTGCATCTCTGCTTAAAACACATCCAGATTCAGGAGCTCTATCCAATCCTTTATTTATTTTTTATTTATTTATTTTTTGCTAGTTGCACCTCGGCCCTCGACTGCATTGGTTGTGATCTGTTTATCAACAGCGGAGCTCCCTGTGTGTGTGTGTTTTTTTTATTTTTATTTTTATTTTTATTTGCACCATTTCTCGATTTTTAGGCGTGTCACATCCTTGCGCAGGGGCCATTTGCTGATTTGCCCTTCTTCTCATATCGCTCCAATTTTAACGGATGTCCCGAAGGACGAGTTCCCTGTGTTGCGCCATTGTACCAGTCGTTTTTTTTTTTTTTTTTTTTTTTTTTTTT